CTGCCAAGAAAGTTGTCTTGGGTTGAACAGAAAGGCATGACATGAAGGGATAAGGAGGTGAAGTTTCCACTGCACCCTGCCCTGGACAGACCTCATGGGCATATTTTGTTTAGTTCTGAGCCCATATTTTAGGAATAACTTTGAAAACTAGAAAGCATCAGAAAGCAGCAAGAAATAATAAAAGGAGGGACAGCTAGGTGGCACAGTGGATAGAGCACCAGCCTTGGATCCAGAAGGACCTGACTTCAAATCTGATCTCAGACACACAAAACTTACTAACTATGTGACCCTGGGCAAGTCACTTAACCCCATTGCCTAGCCAAAAAAACCAAAACAAAACAAAAAAAAACCCAAACCAAAACAACAAAACAAACAAAAAAAGAAATAATAAAAGGTCTTGAGTTTTAACTCCTACCTTTTAAACCTCCTTGTATCTTACTGCCTTTTACATACTTTGTCATGGGTGACATGGGTCTCTTGGCTGATCCTCCCATAAAACATTCCATCTCTCACTCTAGGTATTTTCACTGACTCTCCCCTGTTCTTAGAATTCTTTCCCTATTCATCACCATCTCCTAACTTCCTTCTAGTTCCAGCTAAAATCCCACCACCTACAGGGAGCCTTTTCTGATCCCCTTTAATATTAGTGCCTTCCTTCTATTGATTATCTCCAATTTATCTTGTATAGATCTTGCTAGGACATAGATGTTTTCATATTGTCTCCCCAATTAGATTAAGAGTTCTTTGTGAACAGGAAATTTTGCTTTTCTTTGCACCTCTAACACTTAACACAGTGTCTTGTATATGATTTAACATGACTTCATTGACTTTGTGCCATAAGAAGACTGGTTGAAGAAACCCCCGGGGTCCATCAACTTAGAAAAGAGAAGGCTGAGAGAAGATGGAATAGCTATGTTCTAATGCTACATACACACGTATCTACAATAGCTATCTACAGAACAAATCCCTCTAGGTCCTCAAGTGTGGCCCTTTGACTGAATTAAAATTTCACAGTCAAAGGGCCACACTTGAGGACTTAGAGGCCTCAAGGCTGCAAGTTCCCCACCCCTGGACTACACTTCTTCTTGTCCCTAGAGAGCGAACTAGCAGCAGTGGATGAAAATTACAAAAAGACAAATCGAGGCTTTATATAAGGGAAAGATCCCTAATATTTAAAACTATCCCAACACATCCAAAAGGCGTGGGTTCCTCATTGCTGAAAATCCTGAAGCAAGGCTGGATTACCAGTTTTGGGGTATGTTGGCAAGGTGATATTTTGAGGGTATGGGTTGGTCTAAACGTCCCCTAGGGTTCCTTTTAACTCTGAAATCCTGTGATTCTGTGAGCATGAATGCACCATAGGAAAAACCTTTGTGAGTCAGCCAAGATGATGGGGGTAAAAATAGGAGGCAAGCTAAAGTTACAAAGAAACAACTTAAGAGAGCTTATTAAAAGGAAAAGGGAAGAAAGGAATAACAAAGCATCAGCCTCATGGTGATAAAGACTTTCTGGGCGATCAGAAATGCTGATACATACAGGCATATAAAAGAGACATAAGAACTAGCTGAAAGGGGAAAAAACACATTACAGAAAGAAAAAGTCAAGGAAAAACAATGAAAATTTGATACTATTGAATTTATAATAAATTCATATGTGATGTTTATGGAAAGTTTGGGGGGTTTGGTGGTGGGGGAAGAATTGTAAATATGTATAATATGTAAATACTTCTTATAACACCAATAATAATAATTTGATCCATGTGGTGACCAAATGAAATAGTGTATGTTATCTGTAGGCCATACATATGTAATGTATTATTACACTTCTCTTATACATTACTCCCTTTCATTGATACACTCACTCACAATACTAACATATTTTATATATAAGTACTCTGTTGAAGACATTAAGAGGTGGGGGCAAATAGAGAAACACACAATAAAATATCTACAAACAAGAAGATATGAGGTGAATTGAATTCTCCACTCCCAGCCTGCCAGCAGCCAGAAAAATCATAGACCTTTAGAGTAAGTTCAACCCCTTTATTCTACAGATGAGGAAACTAAGGCATGGATTTAAGGAACAGGGAGATAATAGTCCCACTGTCCTCATCAGACCTCATTTAGGAATACTGTATTCAGTTCTGGGCACAGTGGTTTAAGAAAAACATTGCTAAATCATAGAGTGTCCAGAGGGGGTCAATCAGTATAGTGAAGAGCCTTTATAATCCATGGGTTGAAGAAACCAGGAATGTTTAGCTTGGAGAAAAGAAGATGCAGGAGGCACAGATGTTTATAGAACTATCAGAGATCAGACTTGTTTCATTTGGCTCCAAAGGCAAAACCAGGAGGAATAGGTAGAAATTGCTCTTGTCCATGTCCAGTTGATACAGTTGTATCCAACTCTTTGTGACCCCCTGGACTGTGGTACGGTCTTGGCAAAGATACTGGAGAGGTTTGCTATTTCCTTCTTCAGTGGATCAAGGCACATAGAGGTTAAATAACTTGCCCAAGGTCACACAGCTAGTAAGTATCTGAGGCTGGGCTTGAACTCAGGTCTTCCTGATTCCAGGCCCAGAGCTCTATCCACTGAGCCACCTAGCTGCCTCCTAGGCAAAGAGAGGTTAAATGACTTGCCCAAGGTCACACAGCTAGTAAGTGTCTGAGGCTGGATTTGAACTCAGGTCTTCCTGATTCCGGTCCCAGAGTTGAGCCCACTGATCCATCTAGCTGCCCAAGATAGAAATTACATAGAAGCATATTTAGGATCAATGTCAGGAAAACCTTTTAGCACAATGTCTAAGACATAGTAGGCACCTGATAAATGCTTGGTGAGCAGTGATTAGAATTGCGCCCAAAGAAGAGCAAAGCTGTCTAGAAAGTTGATGGGTCCTCTCTCCTTTGAGGTCAAGCAGAGACAAGATAACCATTTGTCCCATATGTTATAGTGGGGACTTCTTTTATGTATGGGTTAGACAGCTGCAGTCTCTTCCAACTCCCAAATTCTATGATTTTGTGAAACTGTAGAACCCAGGGAAATGGTGTGGTTTATCCAAAGTCACATAGCTAATTGGTGATAGAGACAGTTGTAGATATCAGATCCTTATCCTCTATGATAATAATATGAAGAGTGAAATACAGAAAGGGAATAGAGACTACCATGGTAAAAGCTCACATTCTGCTTCAGTATGCTCCGGTCCTCAAAGTCTATTTCATTCATTGCAGAATCATATCTAGCAATTCTGATGCCTGGGACAATCATACTAAGAGGCAACCTCAAATCAGCTTTGTCAAGATGGATCCAGATGAGAGAGGAAAGAGTTTGGACATTGAGGCACAAAGGTTGGGGGAGAGGAGAACTCCAAGACACCATCTGGTCATGAGGGAACAGAGACCCCTAAGGCATCTGTGGTTGGGGAGGGGGAAGTATTTTGCTGAGGGGAAGGAACAGGGTGGGTCCAGGCAGGAAATTTGTAGTAGAGAAAGGAAGCATGCCTTCCTCCCAAGCTCTGATTCTGAGGATCTGGACTTTGCTTCCATGCCTTCTTTTTCACCCTGGAACTTCCCTTAGTCCCTTGGACCTTCTCATCTTGGAATGCCCTTCTACTATGCTAGCCCCCTTCTTTCCTTGGTGAGTTCATCCTGGCACCTTCATTTTGGGATGGGAGCTGCATTCCTTCCCTCTTCTGACTCTCTGGAGCTTGACACTATGCCCCTTCATGGGTACCTCCTCCCTATACCCCTTATCCAGTAAGTTTCACGAGGGCAAAGACTCATTCTCTGTCTCTATCTGCCCCTCCCCCTACCTTTCTCTCTCTCTCTCTCTCTCTCTCTCTCTCTCTCTCTCTCTCTCTCTCTCTCTCTCTCTCTCTCTCTCTCTTTTTCTCTCTCTCTCCCCCTCCCCCCCCCATATAATTATATCCCAGGCACTTAGCATGGTGTCTGACACATAGTAACTGCTTAATAAATACTTATTGCCTGCCAGGCTGGGACCTTTTAACTAATTTTAACTAATTTTAACTAATTTTTCTTGTTTCTTAGTTGTTTCTACCCACTGGAACAGTACAAAGGTCATTATTTGCTGTTGCTCAGTCGTTCAGTTATGTTTGACTCTATGTGACCCCACCAACTTTGTCCATGGGGTTTTATTGGCAAAGATAGTGGAGTGGTTTCCCATTTCCTTTTCCACTGTGTCCCCATTTACAGATGAGAAATTGAGGCAAATACAGGTTAAGTGACTTACCAAAGGTCATACAGGTAGTAAGTATCTGAGGCCAGATTTGAATTCAGATCTTCCTGACTCCAGGCCCCACCCTTAGCTGCCCCTCCAAGGGCTGTCACTGTACTGTCTAAATTCCAGTTTTCTTGGTCAAGACCTAGTCATCCTGCCCTGGCTATGGTTCATTCGTTATCACCTACCCATTCATACCAAAGTAGTTCCACATTGTATTTACTCCCACCCCTTTCCTCCCTACCCCCTTAAATTTATATGTTACATGCCTTAGTTATGAAGAAACAAAAATGGGAGTCTATGCCATAAAGTGTAGATTACCCCAATGTTTATCATATCTTCCCTCCCTGAAACAACCCTTTTCATCATGCCACATATGGACCTTTTTAGTGGATTCCAGTGCTAACATCAGCGATTAAAGTACATGGAAATACAGAGCGCAGAAAAAGAAACAGAAAAAAAACTAAGGGAAGGAAGGAGGTGTTAACAACTCTCACCACGAACACACTGGAACATAAAAATGGAAGTGCTAAACAAGGGCTTCAGAATGGGGGGCTTTAGATGGTTTGCAGCCCAAGCAATGACTTCTTAATGTGGCTTTTTAAATGCGACATATATATCCTCCTTGTGTTTCAGTTTTATGGCATTAATACATAATTGCTTGGAGTCAGCTAGGCTTAAAACATCCAAGGTCGTAAGAAATGTCTCCCGTACTGGTCATCATTTTGCTTTTAGAAGGACTCTGATTCCCAGTTCTCTTAGCAACTCACCTGTCTACACGAAGTTGACAGACAATGCTGAGTGCATCAACCACTCCTTCCTCTTTCAATTGTCGACAGCCAATGGACGTGGCAATAAAACACCCAGTTCTACCTATCCCAGCACTGGAAAAAAAGAAAACAACACATTAGCTGATATTTTCTATTTATTGGTCCAGATCCATGATTTAATCAGAGTAGTGAATTCCAGGATGGAAACTTTCAGAAATAGAACTCTATTGGCAACTAATGTCCAAGGTATAGTCTTAGTGAGTTACCCGGGCACTGGGAGGTTTAACAATTTGCCATTATCACATATCAGTCCCTCTCAGAGTTGTGATTGAAAATCCAGGGCTTCCTGACATCCTGACTCCAGGCCTAGTATTCCAGCTCTTTCAAGTTTGCAAAGCCCTGTAAGTGCATTATTGTTGAACCTCACAATAGCCCTATGAATTCAGGACTACAGGTATTGATTGCTATCCCCAATTTGCAGATGAGATTATTGAGGATCAGAGAAGTCAAGTGACTTGCCCATCATCATACATCTAGGTGTTGGAGGCAGGATTTGAACTCAGGTCTCTCTAACTCCAGCTAGGTGGCGCAGTGGATAGAGAGCCAGGTCTAGCCTGGTGTCAGGAAGACTCATCTTTTTGAGTTCTAATTGGCTCTTAAACACTTACTAGCTATGTGATCCTGGGCAAGTCATTTACCCTGCTTGCCTCAGTCTCCTCATCTGTAAAATGAGCCAGAGAAGGAAGTGGCAAAGCACTCCAGAATCTTTGTGAAGAAAACCCCAAAATGGGGTTATGAAGAGTCAGAAACAATTGAACAACTCCAAGTTTGGTATTTTATCTACCAGGTCACAAGGTCTCTCATAAATAAATGTGAACCAGAGCAATAGAAATACAAGGTGTAGTTTTTCAAGAGGGAGTTTTTTGGGAGACTATTTAGATAGTCTTTTTTATTCAATTAACCTCTAAATACTGACATACATGAATTTACTGTCATTGACTAATAATAACTAGCATTTGTATAGTGCTTTAGGGTTTCACAAAGTGCCTTACACATGTTATCTCATTTGATACTTACAACCTGAGAGTCAGGTGCTATCACTGTTATTATTATTATTATCTTTGTTTTACAGATGAGGAAACTGAGGCACAGAGTGCAAGTGACTTGCCCAGTGACTTGCTAGTAAGTGTCTGAGGCAGAATTCAAACTGAGGTGCTCCTGACTGCAAGTCCCTGCACCACAAAGCAAAGATCTATATGTTATTCAAAAGGAGCACTGCCATAGTCTGAATAATTTTATCATATACTTATTACACTTATTTTTTGTCATATACTTATTACAGTATATATATGATATATACATATATACATATGTTATAATAGATAATATTACATATCATATACAATATTCAGCTTGATTGGTCAATATGCACGTTGGAATGTTGCAAACTTAGGGGGATTTTCCACTCTCCTGGCCAAGTTGGGATATTAGTTTTTACATCTTTAGTGGCATGGTAGAAGAAGAGTTTTCTTTCTTGAGTGGCACTATAAGGTTATCGAGGCAGCTAGGCGGTTCAGTAGATAAAGTGCTGTGCCTGGAATCATGAAGACCTGAGTTCAAATTTGGCCTCATTTACTGGCTGTTTGACTCTGGAAAACTTACTTAATTTCTCTCAGTCTCAGTTTCCTCATCTGTAAAATGGGAGTAGTAATAACACTTACCTTCCAGGGTTATTGTGAGGATAAAATATGATGATATTTGTAAAGCACTTGACAAACCTTAAAGTGCTATATAAATATTTTGTTGTTATCTTCATACACCATGGAAATGGCATCATCCAGTGATAGATGATGAAAGAAAATTCAAAACAAATTGAGATGATCTGTGAAATCATCAATTGGCTAGCTTCACTGAAATGTTTGCTTTCCAAAGTAACTCATGCATAGGAGATACTTGGCAAATCCCACATTCTACCCATTTTGTTCTCAAGTTATTTCAGTCCTGTCTGACTCTTCATAACCCTATCTGGGGTTTACTTGGCAAAGATTCTGCAGTGGTTTGCTGTTTCCTTTTTCCAGTTCATTTCACAGATGAGGGAACTGAGGCAAACAGGGTTAAGTGACTTGCCCAGAGTTACATAGCTAGTAAGTGTCTGAGACTGGATTTGATCTCAGGTCTTCCTGACTCCAGCCCTGGTGCTCTATCCATTGCACCACCTAGCTCTCCAATACCTACTCCATCACCCCCTACTCCTTAACTGGAGATTCTACCAATACACACTTCTTAACTAGATATCTGCCATCAGAAAAGGGTCTATGTGTGTATTACCTGCAGTGTACAATTATAGGTCCTCTGCCCGAAGAGGCAACTCTGTCCTCTTCTACATCCAGCATTAGTTGGAGGAGGGGCTGAGCACTGTCAGGGGTTTTATGATCCGGCCAAGATGTATACCAGTAATGCTTCACATGTTGGGTGTGACTTCCTTGCTGAAAAGAGCACAATGACAACGAAAACATACCTCAGCCTCACAATGGACCAAAATGACATCCAGTCCATGTACTGAACCTCAGGGTGATTTGTTTTGTTCCAAGTATTGAATGGACAGCTTATTTAGAAATGGAATTCTTGTGTCTAGTAAGAATCATACAAGATGAGAAGTCACAGATGAGATGCAATCAACATATCCACCATTGACAAGATCACGGATAGATCTATTACAGTATTAAAGTCATCTTATGATCGTTTGGAAATGGTACATTTTGGTAAGATCTCCTTACCTCTAGAAAGCTTTACTTAGATGTGAGAGTGTGGTATCCTTTCATCCTTTTAAATTAATTATCCTTCAATTGATATGTTTATGTCTTTCATTCCTGCTATTTATCATAAAGACACCCCCTAACATAAAAACGCACACATAACTGTATACAAACTCTCTTTTACTCTTACTTGTCTATCACAAATTTCTGTGTATACCCTCCTATTCAAATTTTCTCAACAAAATCAATTACAATCTAAATTTTATTTAACTATACAAGATGATCTAGATAAGATTGATATCTTTGGGGTCAGTTATCACACAGTGAAAATAATTTCATGGCTACGTCTCCTAGGATATTCTCAAGCATCAGTGAATAATATGTAGTCTTGCTGTGAAAGAGTCTGGCCTGGGGAAAGTCACTGTAAATTAACTCTAAGTTTTTAAAGATCTCATTAGCACCTTTCTTGTCTTGCTACCCACTAGCACAGATTTTCTTCTTCACAATTGCCAAGCTTTAGTTAATGGTGGTCAGATCCAAGCAATTTTTTGCCCTTCATTATGGTAATACCTCAAATGTGGATGGGAAAAAGTAGTCGAAATTGTATTTTTAAAAGCCTTTCAACAAATTAAATCAGGGATCCTTTATCTATGAAAAAAAATCATAACACTCCATCATGAATCTAAGGGTATATTTAATGCTAATTCCATTGATTTACATATTCAAACTGGCTAAAATAGATTTAGGATCTGATTTTAATTTATTACAATTGTAATTGTAATATTTTCTTTAAATCTAGTGGGATTATTTTAATAAGTATCACTGATTTCAAATCACAGATTTTCTAGAAAATTGTGTATCTAGTATTACTAAATGGCAATTTTATTATATGACATATAATGCAACTAATTTATTAAAATCTTAATATTTATTTTGGAGAAGGGTTTTTCTTACCTTTAGGGTAAGGTTTCGGACAGTGTAGTTATCACATTCTTTCACACCAAGAACTAAGACTTCAACTTTTCCATATATCCCTCTCTTTTCTGGCCAGTAGAGTACACATTTCTAGAGAAAAAAAAATTCAACTGAGAAAATATGAAGAACTTTTATTGGTCTTGGAACACATTTCATTCAAAGATCTCAATGTTTTTCTTGAGTAGCATTGTTCAAATGGGTGGGACCCCTAACAACAAACTGTCCTGAGCAGCTGATGAGTTATCTAGAGGGCAGGGAGAGAGAGCAGATTGAAAAGGAAGAGATAGAATCAAAGTATTTTTGAACTTCACAGCAAACCAGATTTAACCAGATTTAATCTAAAGCCAGATTAAGATAAAAGGGTTTATTTTATCACTTTAACCCAGGGCTCCTGCCTTCATCAAACTAAAATCTATTTCAAAAATAGTGGAGATTAGGAGTTCTTAATCTTTTTCATAGAGCCTTTTGGCAGTCTGGTGAAAACTATGGACGCCTACTCAAATTGATGTTCTTAAATGCATAAAATAAAATAAATAGGTTTACCAAGGAAACCAATTATACTAAAATTGTTATTAAAATTATATATATATGTATTTATACATATATATGTATATATATATATATATATATATAAATCTTACCAAATTAATGTATATAATGTTAAGAAGCCCTGCTATTGAACAATGTGGTTTCTCTTGGAGCTCAAATCCAAGCACATAAAGCAATCTTAATAGATAAGACATCCATAGAATTACATTTTCCAGAAGAAGAGTTATAATAGAAAAATGGCAATCATAAAGTTGTAGTGAAAAATATTTCATTGAAATAATTGTAAAAGTGATTCCACAATGTAATCAATCAATTAATCAATCAATCGACAAGCATTTATGCCAGGCACTGTGCTGGGGCTTTGGGGATAAAGAGACAAAAATGAAACACTCCCTTTCTTTGCAAGCTGACAGATGGTGCATTTGCTCTAGCTTGTAGAATTTTCACACAGAATAGTTCAGTTTTGAGAAGAGGCACCTTGACATAGTGGGTAGAAGGCTAACTTTGGAATCAGAAAGACCTGGGAAGTCTAGCTTCTGATATATATTAGCTGGGAGGCCATCTACTCCCTTAACCTCTGGGTATCTTAGATAACTCTCAGACTCTATATATTACTGACTGTTGTTGATCTGTACTTGTGGAGGGAGTTTTCACACCTAGAATTTGCTACAATAATGAAATTACATGTCTTCGACCTCACATCCTTGCCCAGATAGATTGTAATATCTTATAGATATATATGTATATATGCATATGTATATATACATACATGCATACACACATACATATACATACACACATAGAATATACACGTGGATGTATATATCACATGGTAAATATGTATACATCCATACACACATTATATAATGCATATATGGATGTGTATATATTATATAGTAAATATGTATGTGTATAGACACATATTATATACATATACTGTATATACATATATGTATATATACCCATGAATACATCAATAAATATATATAGATATGTATCATATATAAATAAAAATTATATAGACTATACAAATACAAGTGAATATATCTCTACTATATCCAGATTATAGATCTATAAATCTATATCCATATCTCTCTATCTCTCTATAGAGAAATGTATACCTCTCTATAGATTTCTATCTATCTATCTATCTTTCTATCTATCTATCTATCTATCTACCTATCTGTCTGTCTGTCTGTCTGTCTGTCTGTCTGTCTGTCTACCTAGGCTGCTAGATGGAACAGTAGATAGTGTTGGACCTGGATTCAAGAAACTCAAATTTAAATCTATCCTTAGTTACTTACAGCTGTGTGACAATGGGCAAGTTACTTAAACCTCTGTGTCCCTCAATTTCCTCATTTGTAAAATGGGGACAATAATAACATCTACCTCCCAAGGTTGTTGAGAGGGTCAAATGAGATAACATTGGTAAAGTGCTTAGCACAGTACCTGCCATATAATAAGTATTTGATACGTGCTTGTTTCTCTCTCTGTGTGTCTCTGTGTGTCTCTGTGTATCTCTGTCTCTCTCCCTTTCCCCTCTCTTTTTTCTCTCACCTATCTATTCACTTGTATTTGAATTTTATTTAGAGGCTTTGAAAATCTGACCTTAACTGTTTAAAGCTTCTAATAGAATATTTTCTAGAAGTCCTACGAGCTTTTTTTTCTATCAGGCTTATAATCTCTGAGATTTTGCCCTTTTTGATGTAACCCCCCTTCCCTACATTCAATTGGTCCATTATATTTCTAGCATCTTTTTTCTGAGTGGGACAAATCTTCTTGATCTCTAGTTTTCCATATGACTGCTGAAGAGCCTACTGATTACAGTAAGCTCCTTAACTCATCTTTTTTAAAAGTAAATTTTTATTGACATATTTTCATTTTAAATTGCCTAAATTCCCCACTCCCTCCCTCACCTCCCCCTCTTACCAATCCCTCAAGGTTTCATACTACACATCCAGGCTACCTTCTTGGAGGAAAACTAGCAATAAGATAGATTAATATGACAAACATGGAAAATATTCAGCACACATACAAATTTATGACAATTAACACTTTTGACTATACTTATTATTTCATTGGTATGCAGACATACATGTTCTTAACCTAGTTATTATTTAATTGAATTACTGTAGAGACTCTGACTCTTTCCAACTATGCCTAAAAAAACTACAAGCAAAACAAATGACCCTATAAAATACCACTCCTCAACCTCATTGATTTAAAATACTTCAACATACATCTTCAAATATACCTATATAATTCTGCTAATCACGATTTTCATTTCTCCCTAGAAGCACAAATCTTTTGAGTGTAGGGCAGAAGGCAAAACAGGGTCTTAAAGCAAAGCTACAGACCCTGAGTCATTTTTTTCTCAGGTAACCTCCCTTACCCACTGAACACCTGTTTCTTCACATCCATTTGCAATGTAACTTATACAGACTTATTTTTAAAGAAGTGTTACTTTACTAATTATAGGCATAAACAGAGCAGAAGATGAATCATCTTAAAGTTACAAAAATTAACTGGGGGAGGGGGGGAATGGTGAAGAAAGGAAGACATATTGAAAGGTTATTATGACATCCAGAAATGTGCTGTAAGATTCATGCCATGATCTATTGCAGCAACTTCCCCAAGTGAAATCTTGGGTTCTCCATCCCTTGTCCCCCCAAAATATATCCATATAGAATGTTTTGATCTCTTTAAAATTCAATTAAATTATTTCAGGTTTATTTGAATGCTATAAAATCATTGAAAATTTTAACCTAGCTGGTTGCAGAATATTGAATTTAGCTGAACACAACATTGTAAGACACAGAAGAAGCATCTTAAAATAAAACCTCTTTATCCCTTTGGCATTTCCAGCTTGTACAACTTAAAATCTACCCAGCTTGGGAAAGGTAAATTATACTGACCCCATCTACCTGGTTTCTTTCAAATGATATAATCCATTTCACTGCAAGACCTAGAAAGCTACAGGATGTCTTAAAGTCTGTGCCCCTTGGAAGATGCCCAGGATAATGACAAAGCAAAAAAAAAATAACATATTGGGGAAATAAAAAGGCACTGAAAAGTTCAGTCATCACCTATCTTGGCACGTGAGCCCCGTTATCCATTATCAGACCTAAGCAGTATGTATCTCCCTGGGAGGCCAGATGTCATTGCTGAGATGAAAAGAACCATTTCACCAGGCAGCCAGCACCCAATGGAGCAGGCTTCCGAGACTCCTTGATAAAATGCGTCTCTCCCAAGACTCCAGTAGCCTCTCGAGAGTGTTTTTCTTGACTCCTTACCAGCAAAGCAATTGGCAACCAGAACTGGGAGGACAATGAAGTGTGACTTGTTCATGCAAACACCCTTAATTAACATTCCCATCTCCATTCTGAGATACAATAGCTTATTTTTAAACACAGGCTACATTATTTCTTTTTTTTTTCCTCTTAAGAGACTACAGAAGAGTTTGAGTGCTTCTGAATATGAGGTAACAAAGATATGAAACATCATCTGTTATTTTTGAGCAGCAGTTACATTATGGTTATTTATTGTTCTGAAAATGCTAAGAAATGGATTGAAAATGAGATAAGGGGAATTAGGACTACTCACTAATTTCAATTTAGGAATGTCAAAATAACATATCTCTTGTCATTGTAATCACTACCTCCATTCATACATTTTCCTAGAGAAGGGGTTTCTTAATCTTTTTGGTGCCCTGGACCCATTTGGCAGTCTGGGGGAACCCATGAGTCCCTTTTCTGAAAAAATGTTTTTAAATGCATAAGATTTCAAAAGAAATAAAAATTACTAAAAATTATATTAAATATAATTATCAAAATATATGCATGTTGTGTTTTTTTTTTTAATCATGGACCCTAGGTTAAGAACCCCAGAGCTAGGGAATCATAGATTCAGAGCTAGACGGGAGTTTAGATGCTAAGGTCCAACTCCATCATTTTGCAAATGAAAAAAAACTGTTTCAGAGAGAGGTGACTTAACCATTGATGTCAGTTAAGATTTAAGTCTGATTGTAAACTCAGCTTTCTGTCTCTAACATGATTCAAAAGTTCAATCTGACCAAGTTTTCTTCACCTAAGTAGGCTGTTTCCACTTATTACAACTATAGTGTAATTCAAAGTACAAGTCATTTGAAATGAAAGTTAAGTCCTGAGATATCCTGGTTCAGACAACTTTTGGGGGAAGAAGAATTAAGTAAACTAAGGATCAATAAATGGTGTGATACCTGCTTAGAAGTAGGTTATAGAAGAAGGAAAGGGTACAAATAAAAACCAGTACAGTGATCTATTTAATACTCTTCTTCTTCTTGACCCTCCCCCATTCTCTGAGACATTCAGAATTCTCTGTCTAAAGAACATAGTTTGGTCAATAGCTTATTCTCTTGAGGAGATGGAGGAAGAAGGGAAAGAAGAAAAGCATTCATTTGAGTAGTGCTTTTTAAAAAGGCATGTAAGTAGCATGTAAGGAAGGTTTTACTCTGTTAGAGAAAGAACTATAAGAAGAAAAGTTATGAAAGGCTCCATGCCAAG